GCGCACCGTCACTGCGGTCACTATAGATAGTTCACGCCAATAGAAACTGACAATTTTATGAGAATATTATAAAAGGCTGAAACATACCCCAAACCACTAAACATATTGTGCTGAAAGGCACGACTTATGCCGGTTGCAGACCAAGAGCTTAGTTAAGTTTAGCTTTAAAAGTCACAAAACTAGCGCAGTTTTCCATAGCTGTGTGACGTCTGCAGACTGCAAACTATGTTGGCAATAAGCTAAACTAACTTAGCTTTTGATCCGCAACCGACATCTATCAGTGTATTGACTGTCTCAATATCCTTAACTTTGGTTAACTTTTCAATCAAAGATAAAGTACAAAGTAATTTATTAGATGCAAATAAAGTTCTATGTCAATTTTCATTCAGTCTTATTTGTTAGCAAAAATGCCGGGTTTTAATGGCGCGGACTATACCCGACACAGTAAGGTTCGATTACAAGATACGCTATAAATGTATTTTAATAGACCGAGATTGTGCGTGCACTTACCTACTGCTTGCTGATCTTGCAGATATTTAATGCTATAGAGTTGTTTTCAGTTGGTTTTGTAGAGTTCAGGCTCTACACAGTTTAAACACACTACATTTATTTTAAATACTTACTTCACGTAAGCCGTGAGGCTTATCGTTAATAATACGGCTTCGTTCAGTAAAAGTACTGTTAAAGAAAGTCTTCATAATCTTCATCATTAACGTTTCAGTGCCCTCTGCGATTCCAATTAAGTAAAGCCGAACAAAGATCCCTTTTGTCTTTAATTGCTATGTAATTTTCTATGGCATCCATCCATTGCAATGTTTAACTGACTTTGCCGCTATTCCACGGTAAAATTAACCAATAACTAACGTACTTAATAATATTTCACAACTTGGTACAAGTTATTGATAGTAGATAGCAGTAATAAATATCCCTAATGTTAGTTTATTACCAGATCCAATCACACCAAAACATCGTTAAGGTCTGCGGTGCACTTGACCAGCAGAACAACGGGACATTCATCACATTTGCTAAATTGCAGTGAAACACTAGTAGCAGAGGAAACCATCTTGAATGGCGGACGGAATGCGTGTGTCAAAATTGCACCTATTTACCATACATCAGAGCAAGGGCTGGCAAGTAGCAAAAGGGCTAGAAGAAGAAATACTATGTAGTAAAACTAAAAAAATATATTTTTATCCACAATGAGGAACAAGAGCTTCCTCGTTTGCATCTCATTGGAAAACGATGATCAAGCCGAAGGTGGAAGCGAGCTTTATCCGGACTCCTTAGCCACAGAAGAACAGATAGCCTGTTACCTCTGACTACCGGAACATAACAATGTTATTAACATTATTGTTATGGCGACAGACGTAGGTAAGATGGTGGTAGCTAGTCAGGCGGACTCAGAACTAGTCGAAGTGGTAGTCTACCAACCAAACCGAGCTGGAATTTTTCCCCATTGGGAATCGAGTCAGAAACAGGCTACAGTCAGCATATTAGCATTGCTAACAAACAAAAGTATTTCTGGCTAAATATCTAAGAACTAATCATAAAACCCATTTTTTGTATAGATACCTAAACAGGCATATCTTAATCTACATTCTGACTGTTAGTTTCACGGCCACCAAAAAGGCCAATGGCAATATATGTCAATACATAATATTTTCACGATTTTCAAATAATGGTCTTTGTTTGCGTCGATATTATATTATTATCAATTCTGACCATCTTCTTTTTATTTGGCAAAAACGTGTATATGTAACTACTACGATTGTAAAAATCTTTGAAGTTATTTCAGACAGCCCTACATTAGTAAGTCCATGTGCATTCTGCGTTGCGGTTATTTTGACAAATGAAGCTGTCTGCGCGTGAGCAGGTGAGCGCTACCGTGTGTCGCGATGACTTATTGCGGAATATTATTAGCTTGGGAAGAACAATTTTGGGTAACGGAGTAGCTGTTATAAGACGCCAGTTATTTATTTGTCTAAAAGTTTATTTGTTTTGTTACCTAGATTATTATTAAAAAAATATTTGGGCAATGTAAGTCCACCTGACAAAACATAATCTTTCGCTTTTCTTATCCAGCTACTGCCACTGTTGAGATCGTCTGTCCATAGAGCGTGAGCGTTGACGAGAACCTGGTTTCCATTCGAGAACCCTATAGGTAATACATTTAATCGACGACATCATAAAGGTAGCAGGAAGGCGCTGGACGCAGGCCACTACCAACCGGGGAACATGGAAAGCATTGGGGGAGGCCTATGTTCAGCAGTGGACGTCCTACTATGGCTGAGATGATGATGATGATGATGATGATGATGAATGCTTAATATCTAAGTAGAGTACAATAACAATTTCCTCTTATTTGACCTTTACCTAACAGATCTTTGGCCCCTCCTCCTCAAAATAGATATTTACGTTTTTTCATGCTATGTTGTAGATAAACGCTCATTGTCATTTCAACTACACAACTCGGAATACAATGTATACCTACCTACCTAACCTACTCGTACCTATAGTATACATATACCCACAGTTCAATGTGCGCATAAAATAGGTACGTAAATGTTAACACTTCAGCCTTGAACTACAAAATTTCCATAAACGGAAAAGATGAAAAACAATTGAAGACAAAGACCTGAACTGAGCCCCAAGCACAAAAACAACTACAGACTAGTTGATGAAACGAACCCATTACCATGGTATTTTTTCACTACAAAGAACTGATTATTTATGAGTGAGAGAGATGCTTTTATTGCGAATGATCGAAATGTTCGTGCTGCAGGCACAGATCTTGGAGATGCATTAATACGAGAACATAAGACATTAACATACGTTACACGGGCCACTGCGATGAATCGGCCCGATACGACTATCGCGGGCTTAAGATAAATAAATGGAGCTCTTAATGTTCCCAACAATTCTACAGCACGTAGTGTTGTAAGAAACTCTTAGAGTCTAATTTGAGCCATATTTGAAGACTCGAGTCTTGTAAATAAAACTTAGAGCTCAAGTTCAAGTCCTTCAGAATTTTGAGTCTTTTGTAAAAGACTCGAATCCTGCCAAAAGGAACTCAAAGACTAAGTCTTTTTATAAGAACTCGTGGCTGTGTCCTCTAAATCCATAGCTGTAGTTTGAAATAAATAAAACCCAAAAGGACTTAGAAGACTCGAAAGGACCCAGTAGACGCGAAAGGACTTCCAAGACTTAGAAGACTCGAAAGGACTCGGATTAATGTGACAACGTGACCTAGTCTGTCAAGACTTAAGTCTGTAAATGAAGGCTAAAAGACTCGTTTCTTACAACTCTAACAGCACGCCTATTGTACCGTCGGCGTATTGATGTAGCTAAAAAGTTATTTTAAATCACTTACATAAATAATATCAGATAAATCTGACGCATAGCACTGAAGGCGAAAAAAGGAAGTCTTTTATTAAACCAGCATACAAACAAAGGGATATTACTATTTTTGTTTACAAAATACTCTCAATTGTAATATGAAAACATATTCAGAAGAGGAAATAAAAATTCTATAAATAAGTACCAATTTCGTCCCCGACTTTTTCAGAATGCCAAATAGAATGCAGAATACTTACTCGCTGCCGCAAAATACTTACTAAAAAATAAAAAAATGAACATTACCTACTTATGAATAAGTTTGCGAATTTTGAAAATTAACGATTACTTAATAATAGGTAGTTTAATAACTTATAAAAATATAAAGGTAATCTTATTATTTCAGTAGGTAAGCTGAAGGCTACTGACAACGCCACTCTTGTGGCGGAGTTTTGGGCTGGCGGTGTGTAGGTTTGTTGTCGATGCGACAAGAAGAAGAATAAGTAGGTAAGCTGTATCCTAGATCTTACTAAAGAATAGGTAATAAACAAAATCTTTAGGTAAACGAGTTACGAATTGCGAAACAACATTTTTTTTCATAACATTTCAGGAATACCTAGTATACGAAAAAACCTCGTGTCTGTAAAATAACGCTACCTTTCGCTTATAGTGCTTGCATTTGTTCTGGCTGTACACTCCTACAGCTCCCGGAAGGCTCAGCTATTCCAGATTTGTAATCTACTTCGAGAAACATCTATGCAATTCCCACCCCATGCAATTTATGCAGTTGTAAGAAGTAATCGTAGACCTATATCATGGAAGAGATGCAGTGGAAACTGCTTTTATTACAACTCAATTTAATAAAACAGAGTTAGTAAATAACATATTTAGTCGGTTAAAACATTTCAATGCGAGCGAAGAATGGATAAGCGTTTATTTGAAACCATTGCAAAAGCTTTCATAAAAGAAACTCAAGGCTGTATTTCATGAAGTCTCCGGATATGTACTTAATTTAATTTACGTTTGGCGCCATTATCTTACATCTGACTTTCATCTAGACTGTAGACGGTGTTGCAAACTTTGACCCTGCGCCAGAATTCGGGTCGGAGTGAGGGCAATATCCCGCACCGTACATTTTAGGTGCAACACAAACAACCTCGTATCGTATTCAATCAATACTTTGGTTATGAAGATAACTATACATATTATTAAAATTCTATTAACCCATGTAGGCTAGCAATAATATGGAGGCGTTTCTTATAGAAATAAATATACTTAGTAAAAGAAATAACGAGATATGTAACTTGGTATTGTTCAATAAAAACAAAAAATAAACTTGTAGATCATTTTATCATTATTTCTTTTCTGTAACATGAAAACCTGTGCTAAAGTTCTGTAAAAACTTCTTCAGTGTATACGTTGACTTACCATTATCGGATTAAACTAAGTAAATACCCAACTACTCCCAAAGGTAATTTTTTTATGAAGACGTAATAAAATGGCGTCCCGCTACAAATGGGACGTCTCCTATGACTAATGCCGGTACATCGATAGTCTAGGAAAACCCAGGTGTAGGTACTAAAAAATGCATTTACTTGTTGCCATCTTGGTTGCACAGCAAGCGAGGGCGCCCCGCGCATGCGCCCTACCCTCATCGATTTTTCTCAATTTGACAGTTCCTCGTATGTTTTGAGGAATCACTCACCTCCGCGAGCAAAGTAAACAAAAAATGGCTTTAGACTTTTCCGCTACGTATAAGCTATTAGTTTTAGGCGATTCTAACGTAGGCAAAACTTGTATTGTGCACAGATACTGCGACGAAAGGTATTACGATATTTACATTTCCACAATAGGTGAGTAAAATATTTACCTTACGTTTTACGAGCCTTTGTGAGACAGGTGATGGTATTTTAGTGCTTTGAAACAGAACGAATCCGGGATTATATTTTATATTGCGGATGTGAACGGGAACAATGGGCAGGGACGTGAACGCACGGCCCGTTTGTACTTACAGGAAGTTTTGCATCGCCTTACTATCGGAGTTCATTAGTGCCTAATAATCAATCCGTACGTGCATTCACATTTGATCCTTTACGATAAAATTTAAAATAAAAATTATACGGTTAAACAAAATTAAGGATACCTAGTGCACTTTCTTTGTCCTTCAATGTGTTGTGTGAGAAATATCTACATCGGTACGTATTCTCATAGACGTTGTTTTGTGTTTAATCTGACTGACCTGACTATACAGTATTCGATTCTTTTATTATACAACTAGCTGACCCGGCGAACTCTGTTCCGCCTTAAAGGCAGTAAATAAGCAAATTTTGACCGTTTAGACCTACCCTGGACTACAACAAACATTTTAAAACCAAAATCAGCTCAATCGGCCCAGCCGTTCTCGAGTTTTAATCAGACTAACGAACAGCAATTCATTTTTATTTATATTAGATTAGATTAGATTAGATAGATAGATTAGATTAGATTAACTGAAAAAAATGACGAGTTTCTAAAAAAAATTCTGCTCCGCACTATGGTTGCTATTTGTTTCGTAGTTGTGGTACATTTGGGACACAGGAGCCCCAAATAAGAGGGATACCTATCGCTATAATCTGTAGGTATTCTTTTATTTTTTCTTTCCTTACGCGTCGTCATAATTTTCAGGCATAGATTTCAAACAGAAGATAATAAACCTAGATGGCGTGCCAATCAAGCTTCAGATATGGGACACGGCGGGACAGGAGCGATTCAGGACTCTCACCACGGCGTACTACAGGGGAGCCATGGGAATCATCCTCATGTATGATATCACCAACCTTGAATCCTTCAATCATCTCTCGTATTGGCTGAGGAATATTCAGGAGGTAGGTACTTTTACTTCTTAAATCTGGTTGCTTTGCACAGTAAGTTAGTTGCAAGGAGTGTTAGGTCTTATCCGCGAGTGACGTCTTTTAAGTTTAGTTTATCAATATCAATACCGTAGGGTTTACTTATTTAGAATCGTGCGTAAATCTATCAATAATTAACTGCAAAAAGAACCATGTCGGTTTGTCTTTTTATTTGTAACGTATTCACGCCTAAGCCTTCGTATTTTTTTAAAATTACAGTACGCCTCTCCAGATGTCATCAAAGTTCTGGTTGGCAACAAATGTGACGTTCACGAGAATCACAGAGCAGTGCCGAAAGAAAGGGGCCAAAAGGTAACAATTTAACCATATAGTAAACAAATAATTGCACCTAGCATCATCGAAAATAACGAAATACTTAATTATCACATTTTTTATTTGCAGATAGCTGACGACTTCGACATGCCGTTCTTTGAGGTGTCCTGTAAAAGCAACATCAACATAGAAGAAGCATTCCTGACATTAGCCAGAAAAATTAGGGAATATAGAGATTCGAAGGTACGTGGCGAAACGTCCAAATTATTTGGGAAAAACATTTTTTTTTTCATTTGACTTACAAAAGACAGCAACGCGTTAGAATACCTAGTTGCTAAAAAGTTTTTTTTTTGCGTGAAAGTAAACAAGTTAGTAAATTGATAATGACATATAAGACGACATAGGTTAAAATGATTTACAGGACACATTAATAAATTATCAAGCTCCCTCCATCATAGATCACGTCGATATCACATCGTGTGCGAATTATGCGATTGTGATCAAGTCAGGGACGCTTAAAAAGGTTGTAAGGAATTTCCCAACTAAATAGTTTCCTTTTCTTTGTTTCAGGCTGATGCTTTCGAGCTGAAAGAAAGAGACAACGTGATCAAGCCATCTGAATCCGAAACGGACGTGTCAAAGTGTAGCTGTTAGCAAATTTTTGAAAAAATAATTTTACCCGCATATTAACTGAGCGAGTTAGACGCAAAGATGTTGTGGCAAATGACTTTTAGCTCATTTTATAAGAAAATGCCTGGTGCTACATACCAAGCTTCCTACCTCGCGCAGTGGATATGCCCCAATATATGAACACAAAAGATTAATTTCAATAAAGTAGGAATTCCATTTCAGTAGGTGAATCTCTTGTGCTCATTTATTGAGTTTTTTCGAGGCAAAGATAAATTCTTCAGCAGTCATGCAAATAAATAAGATTATCTATGCCTTAAATGTAAACATAGGGTACAAGGTCGTGGGGTTATAGTCGGCACTTAGACTTACTAAGGCAACGTCATGTTTCGGAAGTGTACTTATGCAAGTACAATTTAAAAGAATGACCAACAAACGTATCCTAGTGAAAATGGCTAAGTGCGGAATATAAAAACGTATTTAGGCCGTTGACGGTATAGTGATTTTTAAGTTAGTCTTTTTAGTACTTTTCAATAATATTTGGTCAACAACGAACATGTCAATTCAATTTACTAACTTACCGTAACCATGGTTAACATAAAATTAGCATGTAGTTATTGAGATATTGTGTAACTTAATAGAAATCACTATACAGTTAATTTTCTAACAAAAAGAGGAGCTGCATTCAGTGATCTTTCGAAGTACAGTCGAATTCAGAAGTTCCTGAATACAGCTTGTTCCCAACGAGCACGTCACACCCAAACGAGTAACCCTGTTACACGTTAGGATTTTTTTTCCAACCAGTCACATTGGACTGATCACAAACATTAAATACCTTTAATATCAAGATAAAAGAGCTTTCATTATGAAGAAACAATGTACAAAATACATAAAAAATCAAAATAATGAAGTAATCTAAAGCTGAGTAACAGTAAGAAAATACAGGTTAACGAGTAGGGGTGTGACTGGATGGGAACGTTTTCCCCAAAAAGTAACAGTGTTACCTACTCATTTTGGTGTGACTCGTTGGGAATAAGCGCTGAATACGCTCCTGTTTGACTTCTAGACTAGTGCTAGCTTCACGCGTTATCTGTGTGCATGCGTGTACCAACTTCGCGATTTCCAAGCACCGCAGTATGATAAGACTAAAGTGTTATTATCTATTCAATAAATCGAATTCTAATATCAAAATGGCCTTAAGAAGTTTGCATACGACTCACCGACCAATACACCGGTTTTTAAAGTCACTGTCTACAATGTTTCTAAATAATAATAAACCTACTAGGAATGTGAACCGATAGGTTTAAATATCAATAATACTCATTTAATTGTAAATCGTCATCACCATGTTAGTCATTTATTAAGTACCTAAGTCCTACTGTCAACCAAAATCTTAGAAACACAATGTTAGCTAAATTACAATTATTGTAATAGTATATTGAGTTAAAGAGTAGGTATCTACAAATTGAATTAAAAATGTGTTAAAAAACTATCAAAAAATGTATTAAAAAACTATCAAAAAATAGTAAAATACAATAATCAAAGGCCATATTTAAAAGTAAAAAGAATATTTTATGGTTTCCTATCACAGACAAATAATTGTGTTTGGCAGTACACTTTATTAAAAAAATGAAATACTAATTTTCCTTTCTTCGACATGCGATTGTACTCGTAGTATCGATTGTTATTAAATATTTTGTTTAAATTAAGCTTATTGAATTATAATGAAAGTTTGCGTTGTATTATGTAACTGCTATTTGTTATTTATTAAATTGCTCAGCATTGACATAGATTTAATAAAGCACATAATGAGTATTTCTCAAAAAAAATGTACGTAACGAAATAGTAGTAACGAAATAGTAAGGCCATAAGGCTTGTTATACATTGGCGAAATATTGTGAATGCTCTTCATTTATTCAATTCGAAATATTTGTAAGTATGCACCCAAATACGGGGTAATATTAAGGGGTTAGAAATAAAATAAGGGAGTAATCATTCATACTATTTTAATAAAATTATTTTTGTTCCATCATGTTTATCCATTTTTGAGTCGTTCTCTGTAAGCTTTTTGCCTTTCGGCATTGGTTTTTGGCGGCATTCCTAAAAAAACAAAAGAAGTAATCACATAAAAACGTAATCTAAATGATTTGATAATTTTTTGCTGGTGGCACTTCTGTAAAGCAGATAGTATCCAATCCTTTTGTTATTAACGCTCTATATTTTTTGAAATAAATTAAGTAGTGAATATTACTATGCTTAGTCAGGTAATAACAGTATACACTCAGCATTATGTTGTACTTTTTCGTAACGTAACGAAATTCGTAAAAAACGTAACGAAATATTAGACAAAATGAGATCAGAAACAAGTATTTTTTTGATAAAATTTGTTACAGCAAATATAAAAGCTTACTAAATGTTCGTACCACACGTATTACAAAAAATGGTTAAATGAAGACTTACCGTTCTATATAAAATCGCTGATTTTACTGCCTGTTACGAAAAAGTAATCCCACAAAACACACACGTTTTCACTAATTTTCGCGATAGATGTTATGGCGGAGACGTCAGGCCAACAGCCATTCAGAGTGCAGCTATTGTTGTCCGTGTAAAATAAATACGGAATTGTTCAGAAACCATGGGAAAGTAGAAATAAATCGTAACTAAAGAGTAAATAACGAAATAGTAAATGAGAGCGACTCATTTTGTTTTTTTGCTTTAAATTGCCAATTCATTATGACACCCCATAGAAAATCAATTTGATACAGAAACTGTGATTACTGTAGAACGATAATACAAAGAAATTTACAATAATTTAGTTACGTATCGCATTTTATGAAACAAAAACACATGAAAAAGCTAGGGTGGCAAACAGATTTTTGTATGAAAGGTAAAAAAGGACTATTTTTAAAATATCTAAATATTTGGTAATAAGTAGGATTATAGCTATAATTCTTCGTTATCTTAAAGATTAATATTCATCCTTCAAAATTGTGTGTGTGTTTTTTTTGTGTGATGATTTATAAATATAAAACTTTTGAACTGTTTCAAAGCACACTTTTTTTTTCCAAAATGTACATTTTTTTTGAGAAATACTCTAATAATATCTAACGAATTTAAAAATATATACGTTAGGAATGGTTTTTGTAACTAGCTATTTGTCAACAATGCATTAAAATACATCATGCGTATGGGTTACATTTAATGCGATTACATTGGAGTCATAAATAACTTATTTCTTTATTATTCCGACCGATGACATAATTTTGGCATTAATTCGGTTTAAGCTGAGGACAAATGAGCGTACTTAACGGGCGTAATTTTTATGGTTTCATACAAACGCTCCTTAAATCTGTAAAATTGAGCTTTCATTACGCTCTTTTGACCTCACCCTTAAATTTTCCACTGATTACATTAATGATCAATGAAATATCTTTTGCCGTTTTGTATATCAATCAATTTTATATTTGTATATGATTTTAATAGTGCTTAGCACTCTATGGGCAGGCCCCGTGCTGTGATTGGCTGCTGGACAGATTTTAAAATTCATTTTACGAATTATCTGTAATAATTACAATCAGTATTATAATAATTTAATGAATATAAACTTCAATTAAAATTATTTGGTATAAAATTGAGATTTGAATTAACATTTAAAAACTGAAGTCAATAAAAAATATAGATTACAATAATTTCTTATTACTGTAGTATGTTATTAGCACTACAAAAATAACTTATTGTCTATGCCTAATTTCATTGCTCCAACTTTAATCACATTATTAGTAACAGCATTGTACCAGCACAACTAAACTAATATGTATTAGGTTTTATTGTTCTATGTAAAATAAAGTTTTAATATAATAACCTTTTTTTCAGTCATATTAACTTTATCACCCAATAACATTGTAGATGAATTTCGATTACTATAAACTAAGTATTTAAAATACATTAATTCATAATAATTTCATGATATTTATAAAATTAATAATCAATAATAAATCCATCTTAACACTATACATAGCTTCACTTAAAAAATAATAAAATCAAATCATAACTTTATGAGTTCATACAAAATCAGCAGATTTATCAAAAATGTATGTAGTTTTTTGTGAAAAATCCATAATTATTACATTATACCTGTTCAAACAATCTACAATATGATTTTAACTAAAAAAGGGTCTGTAATTTTTTAGCTAAATTATCTAATTTGCTAATAACTAAAATAGAGGTAGAAATCCAGCAATTTAGTGGATAACTATTAGTAAATCAATCTAAAACCCTCATAAATTAAGTTTTTTCATCCTTTTCCTATTGTTAGGAATACGGGACTGTGATTCAGTTTTGTATGGCTCTGGTTCTCGTTTTATGGGCACTGAATTTGATATAGAAGATGGAATTTGTGTCAGTTGGGAGTCAGCTTCCATTTTTGGATTTGATATAGAAGGAATTTGAGTCAGTTGGGAGTCAGCTTCCATTTTTGGATTTGATATAGAAGGAATTTGAGTCATTTGGGAGTCAGCTTCCATTTTTGGATTTGATATAGAAGATGGAATTTGCTTCAGTTGGGAGTCAGCCTCCATTTTTGGATTTGATATAGAAGATGCAATTTGCGTCAGTTGGGAGTCAGCCTCCATTTTTATTGTAGGTTGTATTGACTGTACAGATTCTTCAACTGCTTCTTGTTTTCTGAAAGTTACAATCAGACATAAGGTATATAAAATTGCAACTATAAATAAAATATGTTCATTAAACATTTTAACTCAAAAACAACAAAGAAGCTTATTGACTTACATTTTTGTTACATCTTCAGGCACATCCAATTTTACTTTCAGTAAATCAGTCACAGTATCAGTCGAAGATCCAAAATACTCTTCATACATTTTATATTTGCTCATCATTGCTTCTTCGTTAAATTGTTTAGTCTTTAGAAACTCTGGAAAATAATAAAATAAACATAGTTATTGCATTTTCACAACCAAGTTCAAAGTTAATCATTAACAATACTGTTTAAATTGTGGCTTGATGGGGTCAGTGGACACTAGATGATTGATTCTCAACTTTATCATTGAAGCCTTAAGGCTTTCTGCATCAAGAGCTAAATAGATATTAAGAATCATCTTTTCAGCTAATGGCAGTGTACTCTAGATGTATGCCTCAAAGCGTAATTTCCTTTTTCAGCCGGGTGCTGCCAGCTATCTTCTTCAGGTTTACAGTTCATCGAGCAAGTATATAAAGATAAAACTCTGTTTGTGTTTCAGTGAAATGACGTCCACTGCTGGACAAAGGGGAGGTAATCCACGACAATAAAAAAAACTTACTTATAGCGATTTCACCACCCATGAGTTTATACTCTTCAATTTCACTATCCTTTTTATTCAGCAACTCACACAACTCCGTTTGACTAGATTTTAACTCACTGACGGTTACCAGTAGTGGTTGGGTAACTTTTTGGAAAAACTGCAAAGTGATCAAACAAATTAATGTTTAAAATGAATTAATCATGCTATTTAAATTGTTCTTCAATTATGAATACTTATAGTTTGCAGTAAGTCATAAAGATAAGTATTTGCTAACTTGTTTTATAATGAAAAATTGTATTTCACTTTTAAGATTATGCATCAGGTACGACTCTTTCTTGTCTCAAAGCAGGGGTCTCCAAACTTTGAAGCCTTGGGGCCATAATAATTATTTCGGTATGTTGCAAGGGTCATAACAATTCGCGTGCCGGATTGTTGGCAGTGGCGGGCTGGATATGGCCCGCGGGCCGTAGTTTGGAGACCCCTGTCTCAAAGATAATAGCGTCATTTGACATCATGTTTATGAGTTTATGTACAATGTTTATACTTACTAATTCTCTAGATCCTTTACAAAGTTCCAACTTGACTTTAAATGGATATGGAAATGACATAGTCAACGTAATCGCTAGAATATTGTTCTCAGTCTTTTTGTCAACACTTTTTAGGTCGCCTGGATGGGTCAACACATGAATTCCTTTCTGGATCAAAGTTTCTGTGGGCATCTCCAGTAAAATATTACTGTCCTAAAACACAGCAAGTCATTAATTAACAGATGTGGAAACTATGAAGATAGCCATAATTACATTGAGGCAATTACTTACTTTTAGACTACGAACAAAAGTAGTTTTCGATAGATAGGAAAACCACACCGAGACAAAATCTGTTACAAATATCTGGTAATCGTCGGTGAAAGTTAAAAATAGGTTAGTATCCTTGATTCTTTTCCACATTTTAAATAAGCTTAATGCACTGCTAACAGTTCCTTTTAATTAAAGAACTTTTGGTGTTGATTAATTTGTTTGTAAACAACTCTCTGTCAATTTTATAACTTCAAAATGTCAAATTTTTTTTCTTTATGTTATCCATCATTTCCTCTATGATCATTTTACCCATGAAGCTAAAGATAAAAATGGAGGCCAGACTTAGAATACCTACTTGAAGCACAACCTATGTATCACTATCTCGCTCTCTGTGGGCAGGCTCTCTCTTTCTAAGTAGGGTAACCTTTTATTTATTTTTCTCAGGACGACAAAGACTGATTTACGTTTAAACAGTGTGTCTTGATAAAGTGCACTTAATATGATTATGAAAAAAGGTTTTCGATGTTTTTGTTTTAAGATGAATTACAACATTAAGAAAGTGTAAAGGCATCGAAAACTGTGGATATTTGATAGAAAACAGATTTTAATTTGGCAGTTGACAGACGGATTTGGATATGGATTGATTACAGTAAACGGCCGTAGAAAACATTATGCAAAATTAGATAAGTAAGGTCCCACAGAAAGTCCCAGATATATCCTCAATATGGTCATACTACTTCAAAATATCTTATAGAAACAAAAATTTTAAATTTGCTCAAAGTCAATGAAACTCAATGTAAAATCTTCTTTTTCTTGACATATGTAACATTTAATAATAAGTTTAAATACTGGTAAAACGTTTTAGGAAGTAATTACTGTGAAAATACAAAGAAATATGTTAACAATGATCCACTGTCAGAAATCACGAAATAAACACTTACGCGTGGAATTTTATATCACTTCCAGGACAACACGAACTACCGCAACCACGCACTATACAATTTTGCACCATTTCTTCAGACAAAACAATGATAAGGTCCCTTGAAAAATCTCAAACGAAATCAACTGCATAGTAAACAACCGCCATGATGGATGGATTCGGCCGATGTTGCCACATTACCGATACCTCAGAAATTGGGATTGTAATTCCCTGATTCGCCAACACATTAAGCCTAAATGGCCGACAATTTTGTGATTTTTTATTTAACTAGGTAATCTAAGTTTCAAATATTAATTATATGGGTATTTCGCTGAAACAGTAAATTTTCTGTGTCCAGGCAGGCGAACACATGTTTTTTTATATTTATATGTATAAAACTATTTTTATGGGAAAGTTAATCAAAAGTTTTATTTGTTTTTGCTATTACAATAGCAGAAACTACAAATAATACCGTAGAAAAACTTAATCAAAAGTCGTTTTTCTAATTTCCTTGTTATGTCCATTACTGTTGTTTGCCAAAATGAAGGCACATTATAACAAATTGAAGCGTAATTTCATTCTAATAGCACTCTCTTTATATTTGAGAAACGTTTGGCTATCGGAAAATAAAAACTTTAAATGTCAAATACTTAAAGGAAGGAAATAAAGTGAAGTTAAGTTCTTGTCCGAGTCAAAGGTATAATTTCCCTGGGTCTTTTTTTCGACCATTGTAGTAACGAAACGAAAGAACTTAGAATTTAATGCACTGCACCGTTACACTCGGCCATTTCGTCCCAAGAGGCCATCGAGGCAGGAGGTACTTCGTTGAACAGTTTCACGACAAATCGCATAAGTAGGTCCCTCCTTGGGTTTTTGTTTACTAAAAAGTCAATTTCTTTGGACGGTTTTTTGCAGCTAAACAATGGATTAATTTTATTGTTTATTTACACAGATGTAGTGTCTGTAGGGGTAAACCCATGATTTAAATAGTAAATGCATAGGGTAAATAGGTTTTTGTCTGTGGTGTCTTTTAGGCATAAATCTAATTTCTTTGGCCCTAATTTCCCTGTTTTCCGTGGCATAAAAAGGCCTAGGAAATTATAAAAGACCATTTTTAATTGGGCGTAAAGTCAAATTTTGAGTATTTCTTTATTGGAATAAGTTTAAAATTTACATTTTAAGAAATGGGTATAAAAATAGATATAGAACAACTTGTTTTTAACTCTTAACTCAATCTACTGAATTTATCTTCCTTAGTTGTGTAAAAAGGTCGTAATGATACAATATTCATTGGTACGTTTGCTTGCGAAGGTACACAAAAATGGGTCGAACAAAAAAAAAGCAAACCACAGAAGAAAACTTAGAGAAAAAAATATTTATAATAATTTCCTTGGCTACCAAAAATTCATGACCTTATAACTTTGTTTCTAAAACTAATTATGACACCCCTTTTAGATATATTAGCTTAGTTTTTGTTACTTAATACAATGGGAAACTAAAAATAGTTAAAAACAAAAATATATTTCGTACCAAGGAAATTAGGCGAAATTGACCATTTTTGGCGAAATACCCATTTATTTATTTAACTTCTTATTTGGTTAGTGAATTGGCTATTTCGAAGAATTTACAAGGAGATTTAAATAAGAAGATAGCAATACTACAGTTCACACTAAAAAGAGAGGTAGGGCCACAGAGAGCGAGATAGATATAAGTAGGTATTTGACTCAAGTTTTGTTCCCAACTTTGCCCTCCATTTTTATCTGTAGCTTCATGATTTTACCCATTTTATTGTCTATGAAACTTGATGTTAGTAATCGATTCTTCAATTGAATGATTTTAACTCATCAGTGGCACAACACTATTAACGAAATTCCATTTTCTTGATGTTGGCTGCTTTGGCTGTCAACCAATGACTAATAAAGATGTGTCGTTATGGGTTTTTGAAATAACGAAACGCGACGGTTTTCGAATCACGAATAACGTTTTCAAAACTAGTTTTTTTTAAACGAAGTTATTTCTACAACGCTCAAGCAAGAGTGATAATAATAACGTTAGGTGTTTGGTTAGCTGCAAGGCCTTTAGGAACTTATGAATTTCAAAATAAGACTCAAATTCCATTGAATATCTAACGTACGACGAAGATTATACCTATTTCATCCACACTTATGTTAACGTCCTATGGCTTTCTCAGTCGCACACGCACTCGATTCGTTGAGATCCTTATTATTTGGACACCATACATTACTCGCTTTACTCTTTTAGGTTACAAAAAATATGTTTAAGAATCGTCAATGTACGACGTTGTCCTCAAAACTGTCATAACGAAGCGGGAAACACGTTATTTTTTGTGTCAACCAAACATCTACCTTATGTTGTTTGCTTAAGAGTGAATTCAGTTTACCTTTAGAGCGTTGTGGAAGCAATCGTGTTGAATAACGAAGAGATTCTAACGTTGTATGACGTTAAGAAAAAAACTAGTTTAGGCGTTTTTGGATAACGAGTGATCACTGGTCAGGCTAATCACTCGTTTAATAACCAGTGATAACGAATAACGCCCATCGCTAATGACTAAGAAATAAATAGATTGAGCGGGCACGTACCACGCCGAGAAACACACCGAGAAACAGCGCCAATGCGCTATGATATTATGATAATAATTTCTTCGGTCAACAATAAAAATTTGCGAACCCTTTTTCAATGGTCAAAAACCGTCAACAAGTTTAAATTTACGAAGAATTAGGAATCGGATCCATCGGATTTATACACTCACGGATCGCGGGATAAGATTGCAGGTGATGAAAGAGCCCTAGTCCAAGACTGTAGCACCTGGACATAAAAAAAAGAAAAAAACTTGACAACTTCACTTCAAACATTTTCAACAAGTCAGTCAATAAACTGATATTGTTTTAATTGTTATCGCTTCCACAACAAAAGACTCATCTTATCACAACAATCAAGCTTATTCTCATGGTCCATCCTGTTCTCATGAAAAGTTACAACATAGACTACTTATTTATCGTACTTATTCTGCTGCCAGAAATATGGACTACGATTATCTTATAAAACTGCTTTGTGTAGGGGATTCTGGTGTTGGAAAGACGAGTTTTCTCTACAAATACACTGATGGGGTATTTCATACCCAGTTTATATCCACTGTTGGCATTGACTTCAGAGAAAAGACCGTCGTAAGTACCTATCTTTTCACGCACTATCTGGGTTGGCGCCATATCCAATATCAACCCTGAATAAGTTTTAGATGACAATAATTATTCATTTGGTTCATTTGCATGACTTATCCCGTAATTTAGTAGTATTCAAATTCTTGACAAATAACATAAGTCTGATATTAAACTAGAAAACCAGTTGGAATGCCAAATAATAATCCCGCAGTAGCGGTTTACGAGTGATTTGCTAATAAAAGAACTAGGGCAAAGTTATGGGTCTCATACCACATTTACAGGGACTACCAAAGCGATGAGTTAGAAGACATTTGGAGTGTTTACCACTCCCTGAAAGAGTTGCAGACTCAAAAAAGGTCCTGTTACCAATAGACTGTGTAAAACTTGTAAATTTCCTTTAAGTTAATGAAAATAAAAGAATCTATGGTGTCCTGTTTTTTCTACTCTGTATCTTACCTCTGTGATGGTGGTGTCATTACATCCATCACTATTTCTTGTACTATACTACTTCATACACTTAATTTTACATACCTCTTGATTACAGATTTATCAGCAAAGTGGAAGACAACACCGCATACATCTACAACTTTGGGACACTGCTGGACAAGAGAGGTAAATGCGTAAATAACTTATAGTATGGTTAAAATAAATACTATTCATAAAGGCAAGAATATGTGTTATAATAATGTTAAACCTGTTTATTGGATTAACATCAAATTAAAATAGTTTATTTATTCAGTACACAGGCCCTTTCCAGGGCACTTATACACGTCCCACATTACAAAATACATAGTTATTATGAAACTTTTTGATGTCAAAATTTGTAAATTACAGGTTCAGAAGTTTGACCACAGCTTTCTATAGAGATGCCATGGGTTTCCTTTTGTTATTTGATTTAACAAATGAGGCATCTTTCCTTGAAGTTAGAAACTGGATAGAGCAGTTAAAGGTGAGTCAAATTCTGTTAAATTATAGAAATTATTATTCCATTCCTATTTTTCGTTCCATGTCCATAATTAATTAACACATTGTCATATTTGTCATGTTACATCCAAAATCATCAAAGATGTACCTACTTAATGTGTTTTTGGCACAAGTCATGAGTCATTTTTTTATATATTTTTGTACCACTGAAATTATTTATTCATTTCATTATTATCATTTGATGAATATTTGGAGTGTTTGTTTGATAATGTTAAAAATGATGGTTAGATAAAGAGATCATGAGTCATCAATTTGATTACGGGGAAATGGTTACCATTTCTGCTATATTATTATGAGCTTTTATTTATATCTGACCAATTAATTTGAAAGTCCATAAAAAATACTTACAAAATTGTTTTGACAAAATGTTTCCAAAATCCTATTCTACACAGCTCATGAACACAAACAACTGCCTGTTTAGGCTGAAAAGAAAGCAATTAGCTTTCAAGAAAGAATAAAAAAAAAATTTAAGAGATGACACTTTGAAAAGTCTAACATTAAAGCTGCTTGGATGATTGCATATTCTATAAAAAAATGGTAAATCAATTTCAACTCCACTATTTATCAAACACCTGTACATAATAATATGTTATCATTTATCTATACTGTGGTGTTGTGTATAAGTTTTTATATTATTTCTTCAGCAATGAAGATACACAGGTAAGGACATTTTTATTTTTGTTCTAATTTGTTCATTTCTTTTCATATGTTTAATTTAATTTTAATTTCTTTTGATTAATTTTAAGTTAATATTTAAATTTTAACATCGTGCCACAATTTGTTATTGCTTTATCACTTTAAGACACTTCTTAGTGATATTTATCTTTTCAGACACATAGCTTAAGCGATGACCCTGACATAGTGCTATGTGGTCACAAATGTGACCTGCAAGAGAAGAGACTAGTCAACCAGAACCGTGCGCGAGAATTCGCTAAGAACTACAACTTGCCGTATTTGGAGACCAGCGCTAAAACTGGCCAAAACATCGATCGCGCCATCGAAATTCTTCTAGATAAAGTTATGATTCGGTTAGTATACTTTTTTACTTAACATAAGTATTTAGAGCCTGGTTCTTTCGAAGCTTTTGATAAATAAGCGAGAGTAAAATAGTGCATTGTACTTTTTGGCATAGTTTAATTTCGAGACATGGGACATGTTGTGTAATGCTTCTAAGGGCGTTTGACCATCGATAACATAACCGGCACTGGTCCGACGCCGGACTGGGTAAAAATGGATTCGTCAACACACGCACTTACTTACCGGCACCTTTCCGGCGCCAGACCGATACCTCTAACATGAAAAACTTTCGACTTCGAATCGTTTGCGTATTCGCATCGCCATCAAAAGATTTAGTATGAAAACTTAAACAACGCCTCTGTGAACGTGACGTAAAGTGAACTTAGTATGAGAACTACTAGTTCTCGCACGCTAATTTTGACAATCGAGATCATCATGTTATCGTTGAATTCGAAGGCTGGGTATCGAATATTGTCGAATACGCAAACGATTCGAAGACGAAAGATTTTCGTGCTAAAGCTACAGGTAGAAACTGGCTCGTCAATAGACCAAAATAACCTCAGCTCAGCTTTTGGCTTTTTTTACCTTTTCCATTCATAATGGCACAAATTGCAGACAAAAAGGCTTTCTTCTTTTGCGACTCTGTAGCTTAGAATTAAGATTAAAAAAATATTATCTGACTGACTTGATGGTAAATTGTGTTTTTCTCTTTCAGTATGGAGTCGTCAGTAGAGTATGCTATGCTGTGCGCGTCAGGAAGACGTAAGCAATCCCTACAGAAGTTACAAGCGAAACAAGACAGAAAGCTGTGCTCCTGCTAGAAATAACATCTGTGATTGTTAATATACATTCCTCTTTGAGATATCACAGTTTATAAAACTTTGTAACCATGTGGAAAGAACGATTAAACTTAAACTCCCCGCAGAGTATAGACTTTTAGTCGGCCGATAGTTGGGCCCGATTTTAATTTGTATGAAGAATCGGCCGATACTAATATGCGCATTTTCATACAAAGGTCGATACAGGGGGCGTAGTGTGAGTTTACGTCAACGCATTCGATGTCGACTGCGTAAAAAGTGACATTAAATGTATGACGGATTGTACAGCGCCCCTAGCGGCAACTTTAAAGAAGCCCTCTAATTAACAGCCCAACCCAACTATCGGTCGACAAAAAGTATGTGGTCTGCGGCTAGCCTTACAGTGACTTGATAAGCTCTAACAATTTCAACCTGTGTATAATATATCTAAATTCCATGTGTGTCTGGATTGCATGCAGCTCCTCCATTTGGCTAAGGGAGTGCAGTGTAACTATCATAATATATTTGATTTACTGTCTTATTTGTTAATATGAGCGATGAAGTTATGCACTGTAATATTCAAGACACGTTTTATGTAATTTGGTAAACTGGTTACAAAATATGACTATTATATTATATATTCCATTTTATATTCTTATACATATACTATAACAAACTACATCACAATTATATTAGTTATCGTACAATTTATTCCTATTTATATGCCTATTTTATAAATATTTAAGTAACTTTATTATACATACATAGTATGGCGTTTTGCCTATTTCATATTTTATTATCTAAATAAGAACATTTAAAAGATCTGAAAAAAAAAATAGATAGGTTTGGGTGTGCTAATTTATTTCAGTATACAATTGGTATTTCAATATTGCTTTCACTTGATAATGAAGAGGAAATGGTCAGAACCAAAATTTTACACACAGGGCAACACCGATTTATGAGACTGACTTTTATTTACAAAAAAAAAACGAAAATTAGTACATTATTAGTTTGAACTTTTGAAGAATTTATTCCTATTTATTTATTTATTTAAAGAACGTAAGAGTTTGAGATTTTATAATATTGAGGCTATCACAAAGTTTAGAGATTCATATTTTTAATTTATTTTATCTACTTGCCAAGTATTAATGTAAGAATTTAATTTTTTATAACTTTACCTATTAAGAAAGATAAAAATATTTTAAATCTAATCCAAATTAAATCTAATTCATAATAAAATGTAAGTTCGCCTATGAATATCTAGTCAATAGTTCAGTGATATTTTTCTTAGTTTTTGAATTTAAGCACACGTGTACCGAATATTATGCAAAAGTGTTTTTCATGTTTAGATCTCAGTAAATTAAGTTTCAAAAATTCTTAACCTTTTTTTCTCAAAGCGTGTCAATAACACAAAAATTACTTAACCAAACATTCCAGTTCTTTCAAATGATATAATATTAGATTTGTATTTTTTTTGTAAACTAATGATTAATTTTCATGTGATTATTATTGGCCTATCTATTATTTTTAGTAAGATGTTTTCCATAACTTCCAATTGGTTTGAGAATTGGAGTGGGTTTTCATTCAATATTACATAAATATGTACTTAATTGTTTTCTTAGTAAGTAAGTCACATTTAATGTTTTCGCGTGGCTTTTTATGTTGTCCACTGCGCTTACTGTTTGTTGTGTTGTTGCGATGTTACAAAGCGTGTACGTGTGGCGTGTGTGTAACACACTTAGATTAATAAAACCTTGATGGATAGTCTTCATCAGCGTTGCCAGACGTCCCGATTTTGGCGGGACGTCCCGATTTTTTGATCAAATTTAAATGTCCCGCGCGGGACAGGCTCGGTCCCGCTTTTCGGAGAGAGACACTCACTTCACCAGACTATTGTTTGAAACGCAATATTATTCTAAAGAATAAAACTTTTTTAATTTTTTTCTTTTTTTATTCTAAAGAAGAATTTAACGATACAGTAAATCTGATTTTAAATATTTTTTTTTTTTTTGTTAAAATACATTTTCTATGGCTACTTTTGCTATCTATTGTCACGTAAACGTAATTTTAAGTCAAATAAAAAGAGAAATATTTGAAAACCTTTGATTATATACGTTTTTTTACTATGTCGCGCTTTTGACGGAAGAATCCCGCTATTTTCACTCAAAAAGTACCAAAGTCCCGACTTGGCGAAAAAAAAAACTGGCAACGCTGGTCTTCATACAAACGCTTCGTCAAGAGTGAGGCAAAAATCGTATGTCATTAGTGTCAATTTTGTTGGGGAGTGTAGACAGTGAAGGCGATTTTCCCGAAAGTAGGGAAATTTTTAATACGTTTTTAATTACTTTTTATAACTAACAAAAACAAAACGCATCATGTACTTACTTAATTATTGAATTCAAAGTACCTACCTAATTACAATAAGATAAATCGACTGAAAAGTCTCGATTTCATAAAAAAGGAAATGTATTTCTACGGCGAACAATTGGGAAATAAATTTTCTTGTTACTGGAATCATTCCCGTATTTAATTTTTGAAAGCCAAATTCAAGCAAAATACGCGTCGAATCGTAGTACTTACTTATGAAATGTAACACTGGTCACTTTCTTTAGTTTTTCTGATGTATTTAGACACCCTTTCACAGCACAAACCGTCTTAATTAATTAAAAGTCGTCGGACGTATTTACCAATTTTTCACTTTGACAGTTCATGTGACGTTTACGAGTAAGCCATTTTGGCTTACTAAAATCTGCCTCACCTTTCGTGCACTGACTATCTATCTAGGTTTTATTAATCTAAGGTAACACAGTCACTTTAACTTACAGTATTCTTATTACTAAAAAGTTAAACGCGTGTTCAAGGATGTCTCTTATTTGAAGGCGGCCCATGACTAGTTTAAAATGTTATATTTTCATACTACGTCACTTTGAAAATGATATCTCCATATGCGTCACTGTAAAAATAGTGGTATACGTAAATTAAAGTGTACCCCACAATATTTATTACAAAAATTTCTAAAAACCAAGCTCAAAACTTGATAAAAACTTGACCATAAATTGAAGTAATGCGATTGTTTAAATCATGAAGTGACACGTACCATATCTATATATATAAAAGAAAGTCGTGTTAGTTACTTCGCTTATAACTCAAGAACGGCTGAACTGATTTAGCTGAAAATTGTCAGGGAGGTAGTTTAGAGCCAGGAGAAGGACATAGGATACTTTTTATCCCGTTATTTATTGCCATTAAGGCGGAACAAAGTTCGCCGGGTCAGCTAGTTATTATTATAAAGAAAATATTTATATCGAAACGTGATAGTCGTGTGATGTACTGATGAAATTACGAGAAGACAAAATTAAAAATTTATCAGTACCCTATATTTTTTAAATAACTCCCATATCATTGTGTGCCATTCTTCCAAATATCTATTTATTAATTCTACATTAATATTAAGGGTTTTACCAAATCTAGGTATTATTAAGTCTGTGTGAATATCTATTTTGTAATTTTGTGATCGTTTGGCTTAATGGATATAGTATTAAATATACGTACCAATTTAAAAAGTATACTTGACTATTTAGATTTTTTAATATTCCTTGACCAACTGCCATTTTATGCGTGTCAATTTGTAAACAATTATTGTTATATTGGATTCCTTGTGTATTAAAAGTAAATTTATTTGATTTTATTGTTTTATTGTAAAAATATATTATTTTCGGCGTTCAAATTGTAATATAGAGTTCTGTATTCTTTGTGATGTGTAATCTAAAATATATTCGTTAAAAAAACTTTCTATTTTAACTATATTTACAGATAAAATTAACAATTCTTCACATTATTGGCCAATTGGCAATAAATAGACGGTAAAAGTCAAACAAATATCGTTACCGAAATGCTTTAAAGTCGGATGTTCGATTTTGTTCCGATTCCTCACTAAGCCAGGGTTTAGTTCAAATACGTAGGTTTATCTTCCCCCACGGTGAATCCACCTTCATTTACTCCGGAGCTAAACGAGAATTGAGGGGTCGTACACAAAACTGCAATCATTCAACCCCTGTGGACGCACGTGATGCGTTCGCCTGCAGTGCTTTTTGCCACTGCCGCAACCAACTCTCAACCCAAACCCCCCGAAGTAGAGTTTGATATCACTTAACGCGATTTTAATAAGCTTCGTTCGACGTTCACAAAGATGCTTCTTATCAACTCTGTTGTAAGGACATAGTGTCCAAATTAGCCCGTGGTCGACGGACGCATTGTAGGGCCCCATCGCGCAGTCGCGGAAGCCACCAGTACGTCACACTAGCGTTAATCTTGGGCCTACAGTTTCATATCAGTATCGGTTTCTTTTATTTAGCTGCACAATGTGGAATAAAGATTCGGTTGTGTTTTGTTTTGGAATTCCAAGCGATATGATTTAGGAGCGCTGCGAGTATGTAGCGCAGAAATAGGGAAGCGTGTGTGTAGCGCTGCGCGGCTATGTTCATCCCGTTTGGTTTGTTTATGTATTGGAAGACAACAGATTGGTGTAGCCGGCTCGCGCGGTGTAAAGCTCGCATGTTTTCAGTCGCGGCATGAATGGGCGCAGTGCTGTGCAGTGCCCGTGATCGTGCGTGGATGTTCTGTGGCTAGATATGCAGTGTTGACGTTCAGATATTAAATTCGGACAGTGATATGATAACAGTGCGCTGAATTTTTTTGTTGAGGTGGAGGTGCTTCTCGTATTGTACCGGTAAGTAAAATGATACATCCTACTGAGATTTGTACGGGTAGTCCCGGCGTTAGACTTAATTAGGCGGAATGTAAAGTTGAAACGATAAACTTTTACAGATAATGTTTTGACGAATGTTTGCTTAACTCGAAAATTTTACTTAGCTCAATGAAAACAAAACTTTTGTTATCGTTGTGTAAACTATGGTAAAGTCCTGATATCATTTTTAAATAAGGGTAAAATACCTACGTGTGTTTTAAATATTATGTTGCTGTTGCAAGCTACTACGAATGAAGGTAAAAAAGAACATAAAATCTGTAAGAAAATTGTTATAAAGGAAAACAAGATGCAGGTTTGAAAAAGAAAATGCTCAGGAGAAAGTGTCACATGTTTTACAAATAAATGATTTGATTTGATTAAAAGTATTGGTTGATTTGATTTGGTTGAATGCAAACATGCCTATTCAATGTATGATATCGATGTTTAAATACATAGGCTAATATCACCGTAATGATAATGTGCTACAATTTTTTATTTTACAAGTTACAATAATATGTATTACCTATGCATTGTCATCGTCGATATATTCCAACGAAGATAATTTAATGAAATAATGAATGAAAATAAAAAATGTAGTTGCTAATTTTCTCATTATGCCACTACCATTATTCCTGCAAGCAATTTGGCGAAACCCAATAGGCGTGTGTATAATGAAACATTTTATAGTGTTGTCTGCTCACATCTATTGCGGTCAATTAACTTTCATTAACTTTAATTATGAGTTAATTTCGACTGGTTTTGTTTGCAATGCGTACGAGTATTATTAGTGGTACGCGCAGGATTACCACGAATATTATAATTATGAAGCTTATGAAAGGAAGCTTATTGCCTTTGCCACCGATCGTTGATAGGTAAAACAGTAATATACATATATTTTGTGCAGTTAAATTAGGAAGAAAGCCTTTGCTACCACATACATTAGTAAATAAAACTTATGGGGCGGGGCGGTGAGCTTTTGAAATGTAATAAAAAATTTTGTAGTACGCTATTTTGTACATCACGCACGCGTGATCGTCACGTGTGTGTTTCCCCTAATTACTACATAGTATTTCGTAATCGTCGTGTGTGTTTTCCCAATTAGGTCCCATTTCGTAATTTATTTTATTCATTTATTAAGGCACTCACAACAGTTCTTTAACCTTCCACTTGACATTTGATTTTTTTTCTGTTAATTTTTCTAACAACTTATATCACCACCTACCCTGGCCTGTTGTCAAACTTAGTGCCATGTAAAGCTCGGAATTATATTTCCTAGAAAGACGAGTCAGGTTATCATAATGTATGTGCTTATACCTACCATATAACATACAATCAGCCTGATTGTGTTGGCCGGTTCGTAATACAGAATCTGCATGCCTGAACACCGAAATCCTCTTTGCGAAAAAAGTTTACTACAATGTGTTCAGTTCTTGCTTTTGAATTTTCCAACAATGAAAATTTTGCGGTCTGGCACTTGCAAAACGTTTCGGAGCACAAAGGAGTTAAAAAAGAAGACTGTGTTTCTTGTTATGTTAAAAATGTACACCATTTAAAGTTATCTACATAAAACGCTATACAGTACCTACACCTGAAATTGGTAGTTAATTTGAGAAGTCCTTGATGCTCAGGTTTTAATAGTAATAGTAATATTTGCTCTTCAGTGAACACAAATATTCATTACATTTTATTTCTGTGTGTGCTACAACAGAAATAAAATGTAATGAATATTTGTGTCCTACCTGGCAAGCAACTCTATGAATAATCTAGCTCCACAAGATGCTGTTTAAAAATATACACAAAACCTAAAAGTTACTAAACCAAAAAGTAACATCGGAAGAGACTACAGAGTTTGTGACACTTCTAATTTAATTCCCAAACTAACTAATCACTTGATTGACATTTTGATTAAGGTTTTGGGTATTTTCTTCCGAATTGATCCTTATCAGGAACAAGTCGTCAGTGTCGTAATACCAGGTAAGATCTTAAGGTTCATTTATCCCGACATTTTATCGATAAATCACGGTATATCTGACAACGTCGCCCTTAATTCCTTTGAGAAAAATCTTAAGATAAATAGGTATCGATATTTTCGGTTACGAACGGGGTAATAAAAGTGTGAAGAGTAAGAATATTCTTCCTTTAGTTAACTACGTGTTGTAAAAGACTCCGATCCGAAAGAGGGGGGATTCAAATTCACATAATGCCAAACAAAAAAAGGTAAATTAGAATGGTATCCGATCAACTTTTACGGTGATTATTTTACACACAGTTTGTGTTATGACGAATAGTCATAGGTGGGAGTGGTCAATCAAATCTTCAGCTTTTAAAACCAAACTGAAAGTATCCAACTCAGTTTTGCATCGGAGATATCGGTTTGCATTTTATATTAATTTAATTCGAACAGATGCCGCATCGCGTTTTTCCAATGGATATAAATTTTTAGTTATAGTGATGCTGAATAAATACGGGATATCAAACACCTGGACCATAATCCATATCCATAATCCACCGATCAATTGCCAATCTAGCTTTATGATTAATCCTTTTTGCTGTTGAGCTTTATTTTTTCGGTTTTGTTGGCAACCAAGGTGATGAGAACGAGTGATGGCAATCGCTCCTAAATATAGGACGTTATCAAATTGGTACCTATCTGTTAAATNTACCATATGTAGGTTTTGAGACAACTTTTAGGGTGTCAATATACAAGTATTTACAGACTTACAGCTGGGTATCTCGAATTCCGAGATTCTTACATAATTTAAGCTTAAATGACTGGACTAATGTCCTTTTTTTTATTGATTGGATGATTTAAATGTGGCAGAAAGTGATAGAGCACCACAAATCTATCCTAATATTATAAAGCTGAAGAGTTTGTTTACTTGAACGCGCTAATATCCGGAACTACTGGTCCGATTTGAAAAATTCTTTCAGTGTTAGATAGCCCATTTATCGAGAAAGGCTATAGGCTATACAAAATCACGAGCAATAATGAAAAATGTTGCGAAAACGAGTTTTCACGCGTACGAAGTCGCGGGCACAGCTAGTAAATTTTATAAAGTTGTCAGAAAACGTAGCCTAATATTGAGAATGTATGTACAATTTTTATTCAGAATTATGAAACGCCAGCGATAAAAATTTCCTTTACATCAATATTTTTATTTGACTGTACTTACATTCTGACCTTTATTACCATGGTATAAAGTCATATAACAAGCTTTTGATGGCTACCCTCGTTC